GGCAAGGGACACACTGACAAAGGAGATTAATCAGAACTGGCTTTGACAAGCACTGTGGCAATTGGACAATTAAAACACATGGGCGGGGGGAAGAAGAACAAACTGGGGAGGAGGGTGGAGAAAACAGTGCAACAATGAATGAATGAAAACCCAAAATCTCTGTAAATGTTCATTAAAATGAATAAAATTTAATAAAAAAAAGTAAAAAAAAAAGAAAAGTAAAAGGAAAACTCTTTCATTGTTACACAATCCCTCTCCCCAGTCCACGCCACTGTGCAGCTTTCAGTCTGGATTCCTGTCATGACATTAATACCCAATCATATATCCCTTTTAAACAATTCTCTCCCTCAGCTGTTTCAGTGCAGTATACATCATTCCTCTCTCTTTCTCTGTCTTCCCTCAACCCTGATGTCAGTTCTTCTTCTGTTGCCTTCTGGACATCTGAAGACTTACTGATGTTTACATGGTGGCTGGTCATTTTATGGAGAAATATAGAGTTTTCTGAAAAGGCATTTTGGCGCATGCTCCTCTTTTGATACTTTTTCTCACTTTTCTCACTGGTCATCGTATGCTTTAAGGAAAGTGCTACTCTCAGGCACAAGGCCCGACACTGTAACCAGGTTAACCTTCAGCCCTGGAAATGTGGAAGGACAGACAGGTCAATTCTCAGCATCTCGAGAAGGTACCGGTGTGCTCACATGTTATTCTTAGACGGCATTTTTGCCTCTACTTCCACCACCATGTAGCTGTGGCCCCCAGAAGCTTCCAGCCTGTGGCGTGGGAATGCCGTGGGGGAGTGTGTTGGTGCACTGCCTGGGCTCCCTGAACAGGCTGGCACTGCCCTTTAGGGAGCTGCTGTGGAGTGGTGCCTCAGCCGCTTCTTTGTTTAGCCAAGAGACAGTCGGACGTCAATCTTCCTTGAGCCTGGATCTGCTTAGTCGGGAGGTTACAGCTGTGAGGGCTCTGCCTGAGATAAACTTTGTGGGAATTTGTTCTTCACTTGATAGTGAGAGCAGAGGAGATTTCTTTAAGGGAGAGCTATGCTGAGCCTGTTGTGTGTTGTTTCAGTGTTAGAGATGAGAACGAGGGGACACGGGACACTGGCTGTCCTGAGGCTGAGCTGTTGGCTTAGACATCGGGGAAGTGTAGCTTCAGTTCATGGCCCCCGTGTGCGGAGTGACAGGGCAGCTCTTCTGAAATGTCTCGCCTGCTTGTTGTGACATTTCCCACGTCAGGCAGTGAAGCCCAAATGTTCAGATGGCGTGTTTCCTCCATGCTGTCACTTGAAGTACTTCACAGAGCTCCAAGTGAAAATTCCGAATGTCTTCACTTTTAATTAATTCTTCAGTTACACCGAACCCGGTCCCCTGGAGTCGATGCCGAGTCCTGGGGATTCTTCAGAGCATCTCTGAGGCTGTAAATCTTTAAGAGGTGACCGCCCCTCTTTGCCCTGAGGAGTGGCTGGTGGAGTAGAACGGCCTTTGCTGCTCTTGTTGCTGTTGGGTCCAGCGCCATTGACCGTGACTCCTAGTGACCCTGTGAACGACAGAATGACAGATTGGAAGCCTGACCTGTCCTGTGCCCGTCCTCAGCGTCTCTCAAATGCTTCAGCCCTTTGTTAGAGTCACTATGTCAATCTGTCCGGTTGGGAATCTTTCTCTCTCTCTGAACCTCTCCCAGCATATTGTCTTTTTCCAAGGACTAGCTCTTCCTGTCAACATGCCCAAACTGTGTGAAACCAAGTGCCATCACCCTCGCCTCAAAGGATCACCCTGCTTGCATTTCCTCCCAGACAGACTGGCTTGTTCTTTTAGCAGTCCATGGGATATTCAGTATTTCCTCCCCAGCACTGCCATTCAACGCCGTTCATTCTGAATGGAAATAGTCTGTGATGAAATTTTGCATATTGACTGGGCGAGGAGGTACAGAGGGGCTGACAGCTGCTTTCATTGCATTCCTTCTCCAAAGGACACAGTTTGTCACCAGACACCCTCTCCTCCTGTGCTTCCTCGTTTTTCCACGTCTACGTGGCTCTCTGACTAAGCCCCAAGGAGACAGGGATTTGGATAAATGCTGGGCTTGCTGTCCTCCTCTACTTCCCACCTGAGCATCACTGGCCCCCTGGGAATCATGCCCTGCTGCCTGTGTGGCCCCCGGACCTACCTTCTCCCTCCACTCCCCTGTCCTGCACTGCTTGGCCTGGGCTGAGAAGTGAGGTGGTCTTTCTGGCTGCACTTGATTTGATTCTCTAAGGAATTCCCTCTCCCAAGGATTGGGGTAATGGGAGTGGGTGTGTCAGAGACAGTGAGGTTGCACAGGATAGAGCAGGGTTGAGGGCTCTTGTACATAGGGTTACTATGAGTCACAAGCAACTGTAGAGCCCATAACAGCAACAACAAGGCTGCCCCAGGCTTTTCTGCTCAGTCCCCTCTGGAAACCATGCAATCTGCTTCCACCACATTCCTCCCTGTCTGCTGGTGAGGCCTGAGCTAGCATTTGAGAAGAAATTTTCCCTTCATTTTAACTTTAATCTGTCCTCGGCACATCTTCCTTATCCTCTTCCTTCCCCCCTCCTTTATGTGGTTTTAATAATCTTGAGAAATTTCCCCCGTTTCCCCTTTCTGGTGCTTTGAAGGGAAAGGAGACTGAGAAAGGGGCCCAGCTTAGCCACCTTGATCCTGGCCCCCACGGTTGCCCCTGCAGGAAGGCAAGAATGTGCTGCAATGACCTTGCTGCTGAGAATTCACCCCAAGAATGTCCTCTTTGTGTTTGAGTTAGAGGCTCAGTCCAAAATGATAAGAACTGTAAGAACCGTTTACTACTTCTTTCTCCTCCAGCTGTGTGACCTTGATCATCGATGAGCTGACCAGACCCCCTGCTGCTCACATGGTCATTTCCCAGCACTGGCCCAGAGAGCCTTCTGCGAAATGGGATGACCTGGTGGCTGATGTCAGAATTAGCTGATAAATAATTAAAACTCACCTTAGCAGTTCTTGAATTTGTCCCCAGTTTTTCTCTTTTGATAAATGAATGCTGTATGTTAGTTCCCCACCGTGCCACAAACAATCATTTAGAAGCCATTGTCCGGGCTGTGCTTATTTGCATGTTGTATTTACAGTTTAAGGAAATACATTAATGGGCTTTGTGGAAATTGACTCACTTTCTTAGGCTTTATGAGGCATCCCCTGAGCAGGAGTTGGGGGATTGAAGACAACTGTGTTTAGACACCTCTCATCTAAGAGAGCAGCGCTCTGGTACGTTAGTGTAAGGAGTTGTGCTGTCAACCCAAAGGCAGGTAGTTCAAATCCACCAGCTGCCCTGTGGGAGAAAGTTGGACAGTCTCCTTCTGTGTGATTTACAACGTGCTGCAAGATCAGCTGTGAGTTAGTTCCCACTCCATGGCATATAACAATAACAACAACATATTACAGGGGGAGAATAAAATCCTACAACATCCAGGAACCAAGTTGAACCCACTGCTGTTCACGACGAATTTATTCCAATGCATAGAGACCTTGTAGGACAGAGTAAAACGGCCCCATGACATTTCTAAGGCTGAAAATCTCAGACTGCCAGTGTCTTTCTCTCATGATCCACCTGGTGGCTTCAGATTAGTGATATTTTGATTAGCAGCCAAGTGCTCCTAAAATATTCAGAAGACAGGGATAATGTCCCCCAGGGCCACCCATGTTGTGAAATATTTAATGAGTTCCTTGTTTTTCAGTGCTGTATATGCTGAGAGAAATATTTCAGTCACAGAAGGACAAATACTACATACACAACTTCTAAAACAAGACTGACAGGAGGATTGGGGGGAAACTAAGACAAGAGGGGATAAATAATGAACACTGTATTGGAACAGATGAAGGAAAGAACTGTTAAAGAGGAATATATGATTAGGATTGTTTGTATAACAACAGTCCAGAATAAGAGGCTGCTAGCAAAATGGACTGGAGGGAGGGGAATTATGCAACAGTGAATGAATATTTTTTTTTAAAAAGTGAACTGGGGCTGGTGGTAGGAAGGAAAATGTGTAACCATGAATGAATGAAAAAAATCCAACTTTTCTGTAAACTTTTGTTAAAATCTTAATAAAAAAAAAGACAGGGATATAAGTTCTAACAAAGTGCTGTGTGACTATAATAAGAGGGTAAGTGGTTAATTTGATTAGGAGTACGCGAAGTAAAAGTATATCAAGGACAAAGTGATATTGAAGCAGTCTGTGCTTCTTGGTTGAGTGAGTGAAGTATCACTAGCCTAGCAGTGTTGGAAGGCAGGGCCGTGATGCATGGGTTTCTGATGCATTTCCAAATGCCTGTGGCACGGAGAGAGCACAGGGGAACCCAGAGAAGCTGGAATTCAGCTGAACTGCTGTGGTTTTCTGGGTCCTGCAAACGTTCTGCCTTTGACAAGGTCCAGCCTCCACCACTTTCCTGTTTCTAGGAACGGAAGAGATTTGAGTTTACCTTATACAGGTTCTAGCTTTCACAGGTTTTATTATATTTGATGAGTGGATAGGAGTGTGGATGAATAAGAGATGAATGAATGAATTGAATGAAGGCAGAGTTCTAGCTAAGAGAGCGAGCTTGGATGATTCGAGAGTGGCAGGAAGAAGTTATAGGGATTGATACCATTAAAGCTCAGATGATTCATTTGGCTCAAGTGTGGTGGGCTAGATGGAAAGAATGGGTTGGAATGACAAGCTAAGACGCAAATGGTGAAGGTTCAAGATCTTTGGGGTTTTGTCACAGACAATGGGACAGCTCAATAGTGATAACACTTTCAATGAGGTCTTGGCAGTGAGTGTCCGTGATTCCACGCTCTGAGAGTAGAGTCTAAATTAGACAAAGACCCCTAACCTGACCTTGATCAGTCCTCTCCCTGCTGTGGCTAAATGGGCTGGTAGACCTCATCCAGCGCACAGGGGAGTTAAGTAGCAGCGGCCAGACCTTCACTCGTGCTAGACTCACCTGCTTGGGTCCTCTTTTCTCCAGATGTGTGCAACAGCACTGACCTTCCGGAAGTCGAGATCATTAGCCTGCTGGAGGAGCAGCTGCCCCATTACAAGCTAAGAGCCGACACCATCTACGGTTATGACCACGACGACTGGCTCCACACCCCCCTCATTTCTCCAGACGCCAACATCGACCTCACGACCGAGCAAATCGAAGAGACGCTGAAGTACTTCCGTGAGTAGCTGCCACATTCCAGGGGCAAAGGCCCTGTCAATGTGATGTGATGAGTCTTTCTTTAGCCGTGGGTCTCAGGGGGGATCTTCTACCGGCTTCCATGTCTTTGTGGACTGCTCTTTCTGGAAAGATGGTCCAAGGGATGTGACTGTAAAGTTTGGCCAGATACAAGGCTGATGAAGTGTTTTCAGTATAAATGATAAGCAGTGGAGACCAAGTACAGTGTTTTTTCAGTTGAACCACTTAATTAAAGGATATTGAAGGGGGAAAAAAAGGATATTGAAGGAGAGAACTTTAAAAATACTCCCATTTTTACTACTTTTTAGGTATCACATGAGCTCCTAGAAACTTCTTATTGGGAAGGAATTTAGGGACATTTAAAACCAAAGATGTCATGCACACTCATGTTTATCGTGACTTTGTTCCCAATAGCAAAGAGTTGGAAACAACCCAAGTGCCCATCAACAAATGAATGGACAGAGAAGCTGTGGCATATTCACGCAGTGGAATACTACGCTGCATTGAAAAACAAGGAACTCTTGCAATATTATTCAAAATGAGTGACCCTGGAGGACATGATGCTGAGTGAAATATCTCAGTCACAAAAGGATAAATCCTGCATAGTGCCACTGTTGTAGAACAGGACTGACATCGGGGTTGGAGCAGATTGAGAAAGATGAAATAAATAATACATACTGCATTGAAACAGATGAGGGAGATAACTCTTTAAAAGGGATATATGATTAGGTATTATTGTCATGATAGGAGTCCAGAATGAAGGCTGCATAGTGGAGTGGACTTGGGGGCAGGGATTGTATAACAATGAAAGAGTTTTTCTTTTACTTTTCAAAGAGAAGAGTGAATTGGGGGGAGGGTGGGGTGGGCAGGGAGAAAAGTGCAACAATGAATGAATGGAAATCCTCAGTCTCTGTAAACTTTCATTCAAATTAATAATAATAAAATTTTTTTTAAAAAGGAAAAAACTCACAAAGGTGTTACACTGTTTATAGGACATAGTAAGATGGTGACACACAGTGACAACACTGTGTCAAGGCCCACAAAGCCGACAAATCTGGAGAATTGAAAGGTCAGTCCTTCCGATGGGTGTACAGTGTTAAGAGATCACCACCCTTCTATTTTCACACCCCCAGTCTCGCCCCCAGTGGAATTGTGATAACAGAATTTAAAATCTGACGGTGCAGACTGGAAAAGGGGTTGTTGTTGTTGTTGTGTGCCTTCGAGTCGCCTGCAACCCATAGCAATCCTATGTACAGTAGCTCTAAACCTTGCCCTGTCCTGAGCCAGTCTCACTAATTCCGACACACCAACCCCCATCGCCCCAGTTATTGTATTCATTCATCTCATGTGGGGTCTGCCTCTTCTTGCACTGTCCCTCCACCCTTCCAAGCATGATGTCCTTCTCCAAGGAATTGTCTTTCCTGGTCACGTGCCCAAAGTATGTGAGACGGCGCTTCAAAATCCTAGCCTCTAAGGAGAAACTTGCTTTTACTTTCTCCAAGACAGACTTAATTTGTTTTCTTGGCAGTTCATGGTATGTTCAAGACTCTTCTCCAGCACCGCAACTCAAAGGCATCAATTTTTCTTCTGTCAGTCTTAGTCATTGTCCAGCTCACTGATGGGTAGCAAGTAATTGCAAAGATTAAGTGCATCTTAGTCTCTAGATTGCCATTGTTGCTTTCCAGCACCCTGGAGAGGTCCCTGACAGCACATTTCTCCAGTGCAGTTCGTCTTTTGATTTCCTGGCTACTGGTTCTAAGAGTGTTGATTGTAGAGCTGAGCAAGCTGTAATTGTTAACAACGTCAATCTCTTCTCCCTCTGTCTTGGTGCTGCCAGTTGGCCCAGTGGTGAGAATCTTTGTTTTCTTGATGTTGAGCTTCAATCCGTATTGAAGATCACAGTTCTTGACCTTTTGCAACAAGTGCTTCAGGTCCTCTTCAGTTTCAGCAAGCAAGGTAGTGTCATCTGCATAATGTAGGTTGTTGATGAATCTTTCTCCAATCCTGAAAAGTGATAATTAAAAAAAAATTATTGATAATGCTTCTGATGTTCATTAAAGAAGTTTAAATAGCTAAGTAATTATTAATTTTAACTTTTTAGAAATACGTGGCAACCCTACCAGTTTGATATGCCAGGAATGAGATAAGGGTTACTCATTTGAACACGGACAACTTCAGGCCACGGTAATTTAATAATGTTGTTGCTGTTATGGGCCATTGAGTCACCTGTGACTCATAGCGACCCTGTGTACAATAGTTCCGCCCTGCCCTGTCCTGAGCCAGTCTCACTGTCTTTGACACACCTAATTCTGTAAAGAAATAAATTTGAGGCAGCTTGAGTCTGGACAAAATCAACAGTTTAAGGAACTTTCTTTCAGCCAGTGTCAAAGTAATAATATTTACATAGTTCTGTTATCACTTAAAAAAAAAACAAACCTACAGCAGTCATGCATACACTTTGAGCCAGCTTGTTTCGAAACCAGTTTGTAATGTGCCTCCCTAAAGGTTTTCTGGTGGGAGAAGGGTGGACAATCTCCTCCTGTGTATTTACTGTCTCTGAAAACCCACAGGGATGTGTCAGCTCTGGTCGGTTCTGACTTGACAGCACACAACAGCAGCAAAGGATTTCTGTAGTTATCCCCACTGGTGCGTATTGATCTAACTTTCTTGTGTTTGTGTCATCATTTTTAGTAAATGAGTCACAACTGTGACTTTCTATTTAGGGCCCCTTTGGATTGCTTTTCAAATTTCCTTTAGCAGGAGGAGTTTTGTTTGAATTAACGTGCGTGTTTAATACCGATGCACACTCTTCTGTTTGTGAGCCGCTGCAGATAATCATTTGTATTAGGAATAAAAATAGAATCATCCATATCAGGGTAGATAGGAAACACGTCAGACTCATGTTAAAGTTCAAGTGTAAGCTTTACAACTCCGGGTGCACCTTGTAGCGTTCAGAATGCTCTTTGTGGCGTCTCTGGGTGAATTCAAACTGCCAACCTTTTAGTTAACAGACAAGTATTTAACCTGTTTGTACTAGCCAGATTCTTATCTTTCTCTAAATATAAAGATACATGTCCATGCGCTGTATATTTTGACCAGGTTTTTTGGTAATGGTAGTACAATTTAAAAAACCTGGTCAAAATATATAGCGCATGGACATGTTCTTTATATTTAGAGAAAGATAAGAATCTGGCTAGTACAAACAGGTTAAATACTTGTCTGTTAACTACAAAGGTTGGCAGTTTGAATTCACCCAGAGACGCCACAAAGAGCATTCTGAACGCTCCATGGTTTTTGCAATCACTTGTTATGCATCAGAGAGTTGGACAATGACTAGGGAGGATAGAAGGAGAATTGACGCCTTTGAGCTGTGGTGCTG